ATCATTAAATAAGCCCATAACTTAAATGGCCGTAGGAAAGAGGTAAAATATTTTAAATTTAACATGGGGCCGTGGGGAAGAGGTAAAAACTCTTAATTTAACATTTCCTTAAAAAATTTGAAACAACTATAATCTAATTTACTCATAGTTCAAGGGAAGCCTTGTCACTCTCGCGAGTGTTACGAGGTTGATCTTTGGTTTTGAGCTCAAAGCCAAGGGTCAGTAGAAAGACTAAGCTATGATGTAAAAGACATGCTAATGGTTTGACATGCTAATAATAACTTAATAGATTGGTTGATTAGACTAAAACTTGTACAGTTTAGTAAAAATATTAGCTGTTATACTGGTACTGATTGTTTCGCTACAATGGATCAAAGAGTAACACAAACAAAAATATTACAACAAAATCTATAACAATTGACGCAGTTATTTTCCCAATTTTAGATGAAATAACACCTTTACCAGATATCAACAATTTCCCAAATTTTATATGAAGTAACACATATACCAGATATTAACGCAACGAACATAGTAATAAAATTTATAATGTACAAATAACAGATGGTATAAACTCTAGATGAAATAGCAACTATACCAAAAAACAAAGTTATAATTAAAAGTATTAAAATCATAAAAACGTCAGCAAACAAACTAATTTATAATTGACTAAACTAAATGATAATTTAACAAAATAAATAATTTTAAGAGACCGTGGTCGTAAAGATTCCGGAAACTTACTTGCAATTAGGGGTGAGGCTTAGTATTTTTAAGGGGCCCTAGTTGCAAATTTAGGAGCCTTTTTATAAATTTAAGACGCTTCTATTTATTTTTTTAATAATACTTAGTGGAAAATTTTTGATAAATTAGAGCTCTAATGACATGTTTTGTGTCCTCCAAACCACTTGGCACGGCACTGCTTACTTAAAATTAAACTTGACCACAATGAAAGTGATTTATAGCAATTAGGAGTGAATGAAGAAATCTTGAATAAAAAATATTCAAGAAATGAAGTTGACTTATGTAGTCAAAACTTTTTATTGGAAGAATATGTTAATCAAAATAAGGAAATTTCAATTGATGTGTGGAGGACAAGGTATTACTAAATGCAGCTGTTTACGGCTCAGCAAATGTGCAATGAATAGATGCAAATGTCTTAAAGTTAAGTTAAAATGTTACAGTTATTATCATGCCAGTCTGAATACCCATAAAAAATATAATAATTTTATTACATTAAAAATATATCCATTTAAAATAATCGTTTAAAATAAATGTTAATAGATAAATTATATGAAAAAATATTCAAGACAATGTGTCGAGAAGTTATTCAATTTTTTTAGACAATTTGTAAAAAGCCTGAGAATTTTATTTAACTTATAAAGTGACTGAATGAATCTAGCAACTTATAAAATGCCTTATAACATACCAGTTTTTATTAATTATCTGTTTTTTTGTTGCTTTTTATACAAGTTCACTTACCGCAAGTCAAACAACCACAATTAAGTCGGAGTTACTTGAAAACAAAGAGTAGTGCTAAAAAATAATGAAATGGTTGACAGAAGACTTAAAAAGTTGAATGAGTCAGAAAAACATGAAAATGGGAAAGAAAAAAAAAAGATGACTTAAAGTGTTTAGAGCAATAACAGATACAATTAAAGGATCCTTTTATTTATACTCAAGATGAGATGTGAGAATAAGTTATTTGATTTGTGATGAGATGTAAGATGAATGTAAGAATAAGTTATTTGACTTGTGATGAGATGTAAGATAAATGTTAGAATAAGTTATTTGACTTGTGATGATATGTAAGATGAATGTTAGAATAAGTTATTTGACTTGTGATGAGATGTAAGATGAATGTGAGAATAAGTTATTTGACTTGTGATGAGATGTAAGATGAATGTGAGAATAAGTTATTTAACTTGTGATGAGATGTAAGATGAATGTGAGAATAAGTTATTTGACTTGTGATGAGATGTAAAATTAATGTGAGAATAAGTTATTTGACTTGTGATGAGATGTAAGATGAATGTGAAAATAAGTTATTTGACTTGTGATGAGATGTTAGAAGATTTGTTGATTAAAGACTTAAAGACCTTGTTTATAATAAAGAGAAAACTAATAGAACGTTAGTTCGAAACGACTTTAGCAACGAAATCTGAAGTAATTTAAATGTCTGGCTGGGACGGCAAGAAGAATATAACCATTAGAATCATAATTCGAATTAAAGGAAAAGTTCTCTGCAAATTGCCCTAACCTCGGCAGTATCGTGCCTAGTGGATTGGAGGTTCCCCAAAAAACCTGTCATTAATACCCTAATTTCTTAAAAATTTTCCACTAAGTATTACTATAAAAAAAGGTTTTTTAATTTTAAAAAGGGCTTTTATATTTACAAATGGCCTCCCTAAAAATGCTGACTTCCCTCGTTGGGTTTGGGGTTTTGGGAAGCTTTAGGCGCGACACTAATCTTTGGGAGAAGTAATAAGATCAAACTCATGAATTAAAGTTAAAAATTTTTGACTCCAGATACATTTCTACCTTATTTTATAGAAGTTTCCCCATAATATCCAACTATTTTTTAGAGATTAACTTTGTCATTCCTTTTGTTACCAGTCTCAAATATATTAGTACCGAACTTATTACCATGGTACTATTGTTTGAAAAAATTTTCTTCGTATTTTTATTGAAAAACAGAGCTTTTTAAACTGCACATAAGAAGTTTTTTAAGGCTAACTTTAAATGGTATTTATTAAATATAGAATTTGATGTATTGGGTTTTTAACAAATTTTTTGAAAGGTTTGAATTAAGTAAAATATTTAGAGTCGCTACTGTATTTTTCTAACTTATCATACTAATTTTTTGTTTGTTTGTTTATGGTTTGATTTTGGTTTCGTTGACTTTTTAAATTCAGTCTAAAAGTTTCATTACTTTTGATAAAACATAATGCTATTTTGTAAGTTGATAACTTTCATGGTTATCTCTCTTTTGTCTAATCTTATTTCTTAAATTATATAATTGAAATATTGTTAGTATGGTTAGTTTTTTTTCTAAAATTTTATGTTTATTTCTTCTTTATTTATTTATCAGATATGCACCTTTTTAAAATGTGTTAAAACACTGGTGAAAAGAGAACTTGTCTTCCTAATGCTTTCGCCAGGTTTATATTATACAGCAAACGGCAAATTAAACAAATAAAAATGAAAAATAAAAAGTATTTGAAGAGAATTAAAGAGTAAACGCGTTTGAATGGTCAATTTGATTAGAAATTACATAAAATAGAGTGCAGTCTCTGGAGGAAGGAGAACGATAAAAAATTAAGAGAAAGATGATTAAAGAGGTACTAGGCACATAAAAGTATGGTCAGATGATTCAAACCTGATTTTACAACAATTAAGTGAATTAGTGCGTAATTACACCCCAAAGCCAAGAATATGACTATTGGAGTCTTTGCGAAATAAAGAATAGAAATTATCACTGAGGTCTAATAAAAAAAACAGCCGAATTGAAATTAGTCTCACCAAGAGCAAACAAGTCTGTTGAGTTTTGCAAGAGGTAAAATTCAACTGAAAAAAGTTACTTCAAAGACCACAAATAATTGTAAAAGATAGATTAAAACAATTAGGCGGAACTACCATAAATTTTGGAAAACCTTACTACCAGCGGTCCTCAGAATAAGTAATCTAATATTAAAGCTGTCTCTACTATCTCTAGCACTTACTCAACCAAGAGCCCCAAGGCATAAGAGCTTAAAAAAAAAAGCGCAAACAAATCGAAAAAATGTGTTTACAACTTCTTTCATAAAAAGCCAAGACTCAGAAATTTCTAAACCCTGACTCTGATAATTTTTGAGTTTAAATAAATTAACTGTATGTTTTTAATTTTATTAGTTTATTAAAGTTTTAAAATATTGTATAGTTTTTTTTTTCAAGCAATAACGTAAGATATATTTTTAGTAAGTTTTCAAAATAATGTTTGAGTATCAAATTTAGCAAGCAATGTTTAGGATTAACTCAAAAGGCTTTTTGTGTGGCTTATCCAGTTCTTTTAAGACTTTTAAAATCTTATTTTCTTTTTACAAGCTAATAAAATTAAAAAACCCATATCTATGCTGAATCATTAGGATCCCGGTCATCTAGAAAAAAAATGCTTCTAGTTTGCAGCATATTGTGAAAAAACTTTTTTTCCGAGGCTAATAACTAAAAAAACTAAACGGGTAACTTAGTTTAACTAACCCAGTTTAACTTCGTGTCTATATTGCTAGTAGCCTTGTCACCGTGTTTACTATTGTTCTTTATATCCAGGTTTTTTCATAGCCCTTAATAATCAGCTTTTTTTTTTCAAATTTAAACATTGTTCTAGCCTTAAGAAATTTCAACTTTGAGAAAGGTACGTAATGTACCTTTTGAATATCCCCACCACAGTTGGCATACGTAATATTTAACGTTCATATATCAAAAATAGGTATATATCCTTTATATATAAATTTTTTAATTTTACATATTCATTATATTACATGTTGCATATACAGGGAAGATTTTACAGGGGGTGGAGGAACGGGTGCGTGACACCTCCCCAAAGAAGGCTATTTTCAACTTACAGTTGCTTTTTCAAAAAATATAGTCGGCTAACCGGCATTTAACACATTTCAGTCGAAAGTAAATAAAGCAGTCCAACAGCTTTAAAGGATTCGCGCCCTCTCATTTTATTTCTAGAATCGCCCCTGAGTATAAAATATATATGTTATAATTCATATATCAAGTGATATGTATACATTATTCATAAATCTAAAGATCGATAATAGAACAGTTAAATTTTGGAAAACCTGGGGAGTATTAAAAAATCATTTTGGATAGGCTTTTTCTATTTTCAATATACACATACTAATAATTTTCATGTGCCGAATTGAAGTATCGTTTAGTTGTAACTATTTTAGAAATAAAGTAATTCTATTGGTTAATTTTATTACGGAACTGATAAAAGTCTCTTGAATTATCGAGACATAATATTATTGTATCAAGCAACTTGACGTGGAACGAATGAGCTGAAGACCGCGGCGTTTTGATAACTAGGGAACATTGAAATTTAGGAGTCTAAGCATATATTTTATTACAAAATGGGTCTTACAGTTTCAGCATTATTTAATAGACTTTTCGGAAAACAAAATATGAGAATTTTAATGGGTGAGTATCTGAGTTTCAAACCTTAAAATAAAGAACATTTTCAAAAGCTATTTAGTTGCTTGCTTTTTCGAAGCAAATTATTTTAATATCTTTGAAATAAAATTGAATGGTACTAATGTAAAAATTGTTAAAATAAAGAATTGTGATTAGAGACACATCAATGGCTAGATACACATCAGTGTCAACATCTCTGCTACCAGATACAGTGAGAGTAGTGCCTGAGTTGGATGGCATATGAACGATATGACATCTGTTAATGTTATAAGCACTGCATTTTTATCTTATCTATCTTTTTCCTTAATAAGGATTTTGATAAGTTACAAAGTTTTCTCTTTTTCTATACATTTTCATTTCTGCATTCCTTTGTCTTTTTTGAAACTCATAAGTTTTGCTACACTTTATCATAAACTTTTGATAAGTGTACCCAGAGAATTTGTAATTGCCACAGCTTAGAAACATCTGTTTTATTAGCACATATTTTTTCTGTTTTTTTTTTTTTTAAGTTTTCAGCTTTAAAGAAGCTGAAGCAGAGTGACAACAATGTCAACAATTGTTTTCAAGAGAGATCACAACAACACTATTAAAATTGAAAAATAAAAAATTGATTTTGACTTATAAAGATTGTTACTTTTTTCATTAGGCAGATGTAGTTTGATTAAATATATAAAAAATAAAAATTGTTGCTTAATATAAAATATAAAGCTTTAAACAAAAATGCTTTTGTTTAAAAATTTTTTATTGTAAACTTTAGCTTTGTTTTTTATGATTTTTTTTATGTCTGAGGACAGTAAAAAAATATTGTTAAAAAAAGGTAGTCGTTTGTGTTTAAAAAGTAACAATGCTTATACCATTTTTTTTAATGCTGCATGAATTTTTTGTACTGAATGTGTTTAATTTATAAGTAGCTTGTATTTTTTATATAATTTTAGTTGGTTTGGATGCTGCAGGAAAAACTACAATTCTTTATAAACTGAAATTAGGGGAAGTTGTAACAACAATACCAACAATAGGCAAGTTTCATTTTTCATTTGAGTTCAAAAATTTTATTTAAATAAAGTGTTAAACTTAAGATTTGAATCTTGCATTATTGAAATATATATATATATATATATATATATATATATATATATATATATATATATATATATATATATATATATATATATATATATATATATATGTATACATATATATATACATATATATACATACATATATATATATATATATATTTATATATATATATATATATATATATATATATATATATATATATATATATATATATATATATTGTTGTTTTGATTATTTATATATATCTATAATATTGTTTTGATAATATATATATATATATATATATATATATATATATATATATATATATATATATATATATATATATATATATATATATATATATATATATATATATATATATATATATATATTGTTGTTTTAATAATATATATATATATATATATATATATATATATATATGTATATATATATATATATATATATATATATATAACTGCAGACAGTTGTAGCTAATCAGAAAACTTATCTGTTAAGACTTGCGGATGAATAGAAAAATGCTACAGTTAGTTTTATTTTGGAATATTTTAGCAATTTTAGGATTTTTTCTAAAGTTGAGGAGGTCATAATTTTTCTCTAATTTAATACAAGTTAATAAAAACCACTTTTTTAAAGAGAAAACTATCCATAAGAGTTATAGAGAAAAGGACACACTTGTTGAATATGAGAAAAAAGTTAAATAGCTCTAAGGTTGTCTGTTTGACCATTTGTAAATTATAGAGGAGGGGGGGGGGCACTGTGTCATGTTTCTAAGGCTATAATTTCTGAACTGTTGTACTAGGAAGTCTGAAATTTCAAATCTAACTTATCTATATAACAATATGTAAAAATCAGAAAAGTCAGAGATGTTGACTCACAAAGTTTTCTTCAAATTGGTTGAAATATAATGTTTAATTAAACAGTACAGTTTGCATATTGTTAAATAATACTTAAATAATTCTAACTAAGTTATATTCGTTATAAACTATGTCAAACATAAATTAAAATTAAAAATCTATGTGCTAGAGAGCCAATGATTTATTTCTTATATTTGAAAGTTAAGTTCTGCTGAAAGTTGATTCAACATGTTTTTTTTTTTTAAATTCTTGTTGAACTTTTCCGAATTATCCCTTAACCATCATACCCTGGATAAGTAGAAACATTTGCTAACTTGCCCAGTTTTTTTGGTTCTATTTGACAAAAAACTTCACTTAACTAGGACTTTTAATTAAATTGAATTAAAGTCTATGTAATATATCAAACCTTGCAACACTTCAATAAAATTTCCAAACAGTGAACGCTTAACAGTTAAATATCTAATGTAATACTTTATCCTATATATTATTGCTGAACTTAATCATTTTAGTAGTAGTGCTCATTTGAGCGTGTTTGACACAGAACCCTTGGCAGCCATTGCAATTGAGGTAGTGGCCAGTAAAAGTTGCAGCACTTTGTTTTATAAGAAAATATGAACATGTGCAATGTTTTCTTATAAAATGTTAATGCAAATGTCTAGCGTATGTAAACTTCAATCAAACTTTCTTGTAATGTCAAAACATAATAAAATATTTATCAAGTTTTGTAGTTTGATTTCACTTGAAAATTGAGTCAAGCTCTCCTTAACTTTGATCTACAGCATAGCTTTCTGTTATAAGCATTATTACGTAGTTTTAGAAATTTTCGTTTAACAACATGCCAGCGTGGCCAAGTGGATATCGCGCTGAGCTTCTGAACAAGTAAGCCATGGTTCGAGTCCTACCACTGGCAACTTTTTTAAAATTTTTTTCGAATATTTTAAAATACAAAATACTTTTGAAGTTTTATAGAGATTATACCAAAACATATGTAAAGATTATTATACACTTAAACGAATAAAAAGATTTTAAAAAATGTAATATTTTAAAAACATCAAAACACAGGGAGAAAAAATTAGTTGCGTATGTGTCATGATTCAGATACTTATGTTATTAATGTGTTCAGGTAATTAGTCCTAATAAGCTGCGGATGGTCTAAAAAAAAAAGGTTGTCTGAAAATTAATTTAAAAAAAACTTTTTAAAACAGTCCTGCTACTCCAGAAAGTGCTGCTGTGGAGGCAAAAATAAATAAAAACCCATAGCTAGAAAAAAATTAAAAACTTTCTTTTGACAATAAATAGTTTTTTTTGCTACATTTATTTTTTTACTGTGAATATATGCTGCAGGTGTTTTTCAAAAAGCCTTAATATGCTTATTACGTATTTCGAGAAAATGCAATTAAAAAAAATTAATTAAGATTAACTCTTTGTAAAACGTTTTTTGAAACGAATAATTTTTATGGATTTTTTTAGAACTTTTTGAAAAAATATATTCCATAATATTTCTAGACATACAAACTAGCTTATTTTATAAAAAAGTCAAAAATGATATTTTTGACCTTAAGGCATTTTAAAAAATGACTGCAGTATGGATAATACAACGAATATGTTGAAATGAGATAATTTGACGCAAAATTTAAAAGCTCTTAACAAAAGCCACTAAACCAAAAAAATTAAAAGTAATTGCAGTCCAGTGCTTAAAAATTTTATTGAAGTGAAAAATTTTGTTATAGTGAAAATAGTAATTGTTGTTCAAAATTTAATTATAGCGTTTAAAAATTTTATTATAGTGCGTTGGTTTTTGCAAAGAAACATATAAATCATTTTTTAATTTTAGTATAAACTATTTTTTTTTTTTTAACTGTTGCGCTTAACTATCTCTATATAAACAATTATGTTATTTGTTTATATATGTTGTATTTAAAATGTAAAAAAATCCACTTATATAATGTTTTATTCAGGATCGTATGTAATATTAGTAAACTTTTCTAATAATTACAAGTCTTTTTTGCTCAAGTTGTTTTGTTTTAATTTTTTGTATTTATGTTATTATATTTAAAAAAAAAAACGAAACATATTGTCACTTCAGAGTGGAAAATGTGAAATTTCAACTTTAGATTTGCCTCTCTTAATAATTTCTGATTGCTAAAATTATATCATCTGCTTCTTAGACCTTTTCAAAATGATTTAATTTTTTAAAAAAACTCTATCTATTGAGGACATGTGGAATATATTTTTATAGGATATATTTTAATAATGTATTTTACGGATCTGGAAAGCTAGGATATATAAGCAAAAAGTGTAGAAAAGTTCAGTTTGGAATAGATTTACAAAGACCCGTATTTTTACGGGTCCGATCTCAGCTAGTTTATAATAATTTATTAAACTTCATTTAAAGCTTCAATTTTGTACAGGTTCAATCACATTCTATTTCTTCAACAATCTTTTTTTTTATAAATTTTCAAGACTTCCAAGTGCATCAGTTCAGAAAATATAGCTTAATAAACAATGCGCAGTGGCCCCCCTTGATTTAAGAATTGTAAAAACAGACTACTTTATAGCCTCATAACTTTTTTCTATCTTTCAACAAGTGGCTCATTTTTTCTAGAAGTGTTTTCTGGGTAATTCTGTGTTAAAAATACTGGTTTTTGTTAACTTGTGACATATTTGAAAAAATTTATAGCCTCCTCAACTTCGAAAAAAAATTGAAAAATGCTAAAATAGGCCAAAATGAAGTTAACTTTAGTAGTTTTCTATTCATTAACAAGTTCTTACAGTTTAGTTTTCTGATTAGCTACTATTATCTGCAATAAATAGGCAAAAAATAAGCCGCTTGTTGCAGTTTAGAACTGAAATATATCTAAAAATGTATTGTCCATTTGCCAAAAAAGTTCCATTTTCAGCCATTTTGAAATGCTCATAATTTTTTCTAACACTTTGTATTGATCTAAGCTTAACAGCAGTTAAGACCATAAGATTCAACTATCTGAAAATGTAAACATTCTTTACTTGTTGCATTTACAACAAAAATGGCAGCATTTTAAAATAACCCTATTTTTCAATTATTGAGGATTGAGCGCATTATTGGAAACCAGCAACCCTAACCTGCCTAATAGCATATTCAATGGGTGCAACTGATTATAAATTGTTTCTTAAAAAAATAAAAGATATGGTTGATTGCCCCCATGCTGACTTGGTTTTTAACCTTGTTATGGGCACAAATTAAGGGGCAATAACTAAAACTCTGTAATATTGGTAAATAGTGATACTTTAAACATAATTTACACAATTAAGGAGTGTTATATCTTAAAGTCAAAGATCTTTGTTGTTTTACATAATTAATGTTGAACAATTTTTCATAAGAATTTCATAATATATCAAGGGGATAATAGTAAAACATCAGGGGGCTTAAAAATAAAATAAAATATAACTTCTATAATAAAAAATAAATAATGATTAATAAAAGAAAAAATTGAAACTTGTTAGAAACCACTTAACTTATTAGGTTTGGTTTTTACTTTTTAATTGATAATTAGTTGCTAATATTCAAAACAATTAATATGGTATAATTCATTTAATCTTTTTTTTTTATTAGATAGGAGTAAAACCCTCTTGTGTTTTGGAGCTCAGGCTCTTATAATGTGGCAATAATGTCACTAGCTGGATACAAATGAGTATCTGGTGTTTTTGGATATTTGAAATAATTGCCAGCTTTATGTAAACAGCTGACAGATATATAGTCACCTCTTTTAAGAGACCTCTGTATTAGCTTTTCTTTAGATTATTTAGTAGAACAACTAGAACAAAAGTTTTATAATGAGTATTTCACAGAAAATAAATTACTCACCTTAGTTCCTTTCCATCGGACCATTCAGGAAATAATAGGTGAATTTAAAACAACACAGTATATGGTAAAACAAGCTACAGCTTTGCGGGACACTAAAGTAATCCTTGGTGAGAGAGCAACTTACAGAAACTCATTCTGAAGCGGCTCATATTATGCAATCTTACAGAACTATACCAAAAATGCATAGAAGAATCAAAGTCTAATGATATTGTAAAGGTGGGATTAACATCATTTG